CCCCCCCCCCCGGCCGTAGCAAGACTTCAAATAGCCCGGCCTTATTAGGGTTAACAGCGTATATACGTGAATCACATCAAAGGTAGTTTCACCGTAAAAAAACACTGCCAATAAATATTTAAATACTTATTTTTAATTCGCGCAATCAGCACTCATTCAAGGTACTATGTCCCATTTTCAGGCCAAAAAAAGAAAAAAGTTAAATCCTAATGGCAATTGAAAGATAATACAAATTTAGAACTTCCTTCAAAAAGAAAGGGATTCAAAAAAAAAAAATTGTGAAAAAATAATGACCGTTAGTTGTCGAATCGACTTTAGGGATTGCAATCCTTTTAGTAAATAATCTGATTTGCAGACCCTTGTACTGAATGGTCGTATTTTTGTGCTGCGCAAAGATTCAACCAGTTTAATTTTGGCCATTACAAGAAGTGTGTTTTTGATGTAGACAAATGCTCATGTACCCTTTTACAGCTCATTATATGTATGTTATTACCAAAGAAAAAAAGAAGTCACTCAATAGTGTCTGACAGTGAAGTCTAGAAAATAAACGGGTTTGCTTGCATAATTTCAGTACTAGGTCACTGCTAACCTTTCCTCACCAAGTGGAATCGTTTTTTGTGTGTGGATTGAAAGAATGATTAGTTATTTCATCCGTTTATACTCGAAATAATAATACATACCTAATCATGCCATAAAGAATAAGCAATAAGGACATAAAACTGCGTTTAGACTCCCATTTCAATTTTTAATACTAGTCTAAAAATGTAAATTAAGAAGAAATTTGCCCTATATTATATGGCGGTGCCCCCCCCCCCATTTTAAAGTAATAATAACAAACAAACAAGCAATTTGCAATGAAACGATCCGTGACTTCTTAAATAGCTCGAACTTAAGCAATTAATCGCATGACTTGTTTTCACCAAACCCAAGAATGGATTTTATAATGGTAATTCATAATTATAAACCTAGCTTTTTATAAAGTGGTTATGACCAGTCATCAAATAGCTGCTTCCTCTGTTATTAAACTTAATGACCAACTTTTTTTGTTCTTAGTTCCTGATTTGCTTAACTACATTAAATAAGGCAAGGTTATATTTTGTTCTACTTTGAAGAAAAACAATAGCTGTTGGACATAATAGTTGTATTTGATATCAGTCTAAGCAAAAGCGATTGGTTTAACTGTTTTGTTCAAAGTTTTTTTGTTTCTTTAAGTCATATAAATATATATTATTACATCGTTCAGTATGCAACAAATTGATATATTCTGTACCATATATTTCTTAGTTTTAAGTGACATCATTTTAAAAATGATGTAAGCATACAGCACAGATAAAATCATGTCTACAGTTGTTCCCACTTAAAGACGTTTTCAAGCCCCCGTTTTTTAGGGAAGTTCTTAATTAGTATTATCTTTCAAATGCCGTTGGAATTTAACCTTTTCATTTTTTGGCCTGCAAATGGGACATAGTACCTTTAATGTATTGATCCGTTTCTTCTTTATTGGGACGGATATAGATTCAAAATAAATTTGTTTATACCTTGTCCAGGGGGTATTCAAGGGTAGTTTAATTATTTATTTCTCATGTTTAGACAAGGTCACTCATTATCACCAATAATGGTGGTCTTCCATGAGCCTCTATTCCATGAGGAACAATAGTTTTTAAAAATCATAACGAAATATTAAACAAAAAATAGTAATAACAAACTCATTAAAGGCAACAAAGAATAAGTAAGAACATGTAAAAACATATAAACAAGGAATTTGTATCCTCGTAATGAATGAATAGTTGGTTTGTTTTGTTTTACTTTGCTTTTTCGTTAAAGAAAACGTTGTTGCATATTCTTTAGACGGTAATTAGTTATTAAATCCGATAAAAAGTAACTATTACCACAAGTAAAGTTGTTCTCTCTCTCTCTCTCTCCTTTTCTCTCACTCCATCTCTTTCTCACTGACTCACTCACTTTCTCTCTCTCTCTCTCTTTCTCTCCCTCTCTATCTCTCTCTCTCTCTCTCTCTCTCTATTTCTCTCTTCCTCTCTCTCTGCCTTTGTCTCTTCCAATTTCATGTCCCAAGTGCTCGAACGTCTCTCTGGAATATTTTTGCCCGTAGATGGCGATATGCAGTTATTTTCACGATAACAATTTGAGGGATGCTCATTAAATGGTTTGATTTGTTTTAACGAAGTAGCTCCATGGTTTTACCTGATTGCTAAGAAAACACGCGTATGCTCGTAAGTAAGCAACCAGTGATCGACAGCTTTAAGTCCTCTTCGAGGGACTTGGTGATGAGGACTAATCCCTTACCATAGGACACTAGCGCATGGACTTGTTCGAACCCTGGATCTCAAGGTTACAAGACCACTGCTCTACCACTGAACCATCGCGACTCCACATTATGAAACTGAGGCATGCGCAGTATTAGCATTTAATAGAAAATATTATCGATCAGTTGTCAAGTGATTCATGCTCATAATAACCCCATATTTAATTTATCGTACTATGAATCTTGAAGAAGAAACAATATTGACTGAAATGACCCCATTCGCTCAAAAAACAACATGATATTCCAGTTGTGGCACATATTCAACGCGGTTTTTTCTTCAATTCAAATAGTTGATTTGCACATTTTAATCGGTAATGAGATTTAATGAGCATAAACACAATCAGTTGGGTATATTCTTAGTAAAGAATTAATTGTGTACAATAAAAATATCAAAATGATATCAAATTAGACAGACACGATAGACATTATGTTTGTTATTTCATTTTCTTCATGTTTTTCGTCATTAGATTATGATTATTTACTGAACGTGATTACATTCTTTCGATTTCGAGGTACTATTGCCTATCGAAGAAGAATCGGGAATCGTTGAGCAAAATTAATGTCGTGGAAACCATTTTCTCCAATAGCGCCACCAATGTCGGCGGCTACAGGAGCAAAGATGACAGTCGCCTTTTTGTAGTGATTTCCTTTTAATCCGGGAGAAAATCCGGGGGCATCTGGGACTGGTGGCCCAGCGAAACTCCATCAGGCATGCTCACTAAGCAGCGGAGGCTCCAGGGCTTTGTAATATGATAAAACAAAACGGGAAAATTTTATAAAATTGTTGACGGGCAAAAAGAAAAAGTTCTCAGATTTGGCCAGGCACATTTTGGATGTGGATACGACGTTCATGATGTTCTCTGGATTTCAAATAGCTCCCCACGTTTAGAAATCAGCTTTTCTGTATTTCATCAAGTCTGGACGTGTAAACCAAGTGGTTTTGTTCTTTACCACCTTAGATGTAGAATACTGGCAAATATTCAAACAGTTATAAATCAATATAAAATAAATCAAACCACCGCGGTAAATGGCTCATCTTTGTTGCATTCATCAAGAATGGTCGTGACCTCGCCAAGTCCCAGAAAAGCTTGGGCAGAACAAAACAAATGCATTTCGTCCACAAACCACAATCAATTATGACAAACACCTCTTTTTTGTTCATCTTTTGACCACGAGTATTGATTCCGAATGTCCTCATACGTTACATTGGTCTTAACAACAAACTGAAAAACAAGAAATCTTTAGCAATCGCATAAATTGCTAAAACTATTACAGGCGACGCTTGTTTTTCTATCGGTATAGGTCAAGTTCTTTACTGATAAAACTTTGAAACTCATTTGCAATACTTCATTTCAAATTTAAATTAAAATCATAATTAATATCAATTTTAAAATAAGTTCGGTGTATATGCTTTGATCTTATTTGGATAAAGACTTATTCAACAGCATGATGATTATATCCTATACTTGAATTTTTAGTTTCACCAGCTACTTAGTATTTAATTAAATGATTTACAAATCAAACTGAATCGTATCGTATGTTGTTTGGTTTCATACTTGCGAAATGTCTTTTGATTGTTCATAATGCTCCTTAATAATAGACATATTTTTTTTATTCAATGTGCTTTTACTACTTTTAATTTTATTTTGTTGATGTAATTGTGTATCATTGTCCTATACCATTGTATCATTGTATACTATTAAACAGTGTTTTAAACTTCATTGAGGTACAAGGCCACCCTGATTACGTTTAAGCTTTTTATACAACATACGATTTAAGAGATGAATAAATTGACAAATTTACAATTTATTTCACTAAAAGATAACCGTGAATCCTGACCACAATCCCTTCGCGGTTAATTTTTTTATAATTGGAACTATTGAGAATTTGTCAAAACAACAGCGAGACAAGGTTAGAATCAAACGGAACATTGATGCAAGGTGATATCTCAGCCGATCATTCACTATCACAGACAAATTCTATTTGTCAATAGTTTTGTTTTAGATTTGTAGTCTGCATTTAAAGTCTTTGATCAGTATCAAGAACTACTGTGACATATAGTGTTGAGTGCACAAAACTTCTTATGGTACAGAGTAGAGGCATCATTATACATAAATTAAATATAATTATCGGTTGGGAAACAAACATTTGGTATGTAGACACTTGCATCAGTAGCATGATCGAGAAAGGTTCAATGACTTTGCGAGTGTAAAATACAGTCTGCGATCCAGACTAGTTAAACCGCGGGAGAGAAGGTCCGACACCGAACGCACGGGACCAACCGTCGCTATGACAACGCTATACAATTCGAGCCCAACCGATACGCTCCAATACGATATTGATTCACGACGATGTGCTCTGTGTACAAACCTCGAAGTAAACTCGTTCGGTGAGATAGATAAACATAAACTATTGAATGAAATGGTGTTCGGCCTTTGGCATGTTTGAATGTGTGTTTAACTTGTCAAGGTTTATCTGAATTGCTCGACTTATCTACATCAACAACCCTCTCAAGTGCCATAAGTCAGAGATTCGTGTCTTCAATTTAAGGAGGTAGCGAACTTCACTTCTACCGTCTGTCCACCATCTAAATAAACTTTTCTCCAGGTCCTCATCAGGAACTAACTTCTGGCAGCCGGCCTCGTAGCGGGGAGTGTGAAGGGGCGTAAGTATTGACAACCATTGTGCTCTATTTCTATCCCTACCTCGACCTGGTGTACCAGCTATTACTTCAAACACCATTGTCCTATACCTCCTTAGGTCCGATAAACACCATTCTTTACGACCCCTTCCCCCGCAGAGATTATCCCAACTTTCCGATTGTGTACCAACTTGTTATGCAAATCAATCGCCCATATAGATAGATAAGGTAATCGATCAAATTTCGATCTATCTGCCCCCTCTTTGTATTTGTATAGATAAATTCGACGCATATACAGCCCCCTCCTTTCAATTGGTCTTTTTGTGGATTTGGGGCATTAGATAGAAAGGGGGAGAGATCCTTTGTAAGGGTTGTGTTTTGGTTAAGGATCGCATAGAGACGAGGAGGTTTTGATGAGTCGATCGCAAAGCGTGATTAATGTGTGCACTATACAGTCGTCTGTTTGTATTGCTGTCTTTATATACTTCTCGGATTGTTCATGGCTGAGTTACAGGTAATAATTCTAAATCACCCGTTTCATAAAACAAAGAATAATATATTTGAAATATTGTTTGTAAATCATCTTAATGATTAGTGTCAACATTTGCAAAGGAGTATATTCTTAATGCCACTCGTGGCTTGCGAGTGCGTTTTGTTCTGTTCATTCGTTCTTATGCAGGTTTCAGTCGATTTCACTTTATATTCAATATTTTCACAGTAAATTTGACATTTGTAAAGTAAATTATTGCTAGTTTACCTAGATGATAAACTAGTATGTATCCAGACGTAGAGAGATATATATTACTTTGGTGGTATTCAGGTTTTGTTACAAATTTATTAAGATGTGGAGGATTATGTGTGGCGGTGATGGACTAAGGAATAATATACATGTAATTATATGAAAAATCTAAAGCATCCGAATTTGTTATTACGGGAAATTCATTTAATATTTTAATTGTTTCACAGAGGCTTTTTAATTCGGCTGTTAATTAGCATGTCATGTTAAAAAGAGAAGTTATGAGTATGTTCTCTATTCGTTTGAATTATTTTCTAGCATTTTTCAAATAATAGAAATTAGGGCATTTACAGGTTAATAGATTATACTAAATCTAATCTGATTGCTAAAACAAATACAGGAATTCCTTTTGCAGGGTGGTAACCGTCTTATCTTCTCATTAAGAAACGATAAATACTTGTTACTCTTCACTGTATTTACACAATGCCCATTAAAATGTACTAGCTGAACTGTGTAAATGTGTAACTTTATATAAACCGCATAATTCACCGTCTATAGGTTTAAAGGTCGAAGTCAATCTATGTAACGGAAAGGCTACAAATTGTATTCTGTAAAATGAAGTGATATTTGTCTTTTCTAACCGTCAACTGAGTGTATTTTGTGAAAGATAATAAGTGAAATATGTGCAGTTTCCAAAGTGTGAGAATTATTTCAGTTTGAGATACCACACAACTATAGTTTAGTGTGATCCTTCTACAATTTAGGATCAATATCAATACTATTTCTATTAGTGACTTTGAACAACGGGATTTACAAGGTCAAATTACTGGATCAATGATAAAACATTTGACCGGAAGAAACATTTGAAACATGAAATAAAAGTGCTATAAAAGATGGAAAACATCACATTTCTTTTTAGATTATAATTCTTTTCAAACTGAAGCACTGCACACAAATGTGCACATTGCACACCCTACGTGTCTCTATTAAAAACAGTTTTATACCTAAGACTATGTTATTTTACACTTCTGAGAAATTGGGAATTTTAAAGGCACTTTTTGGTTCGATCACTTCTATATTCACTTATAATGTATATTCCTTTGCATTATGCATTTACCCTTTCACCCTTCATTTCAATGTTATCATTTTACACATTCAACATTGTATTCTCTTATTTAATGTAAGCATTGTGTAGAGTCACACGTGATACTTTATTTGCATTGTGCATTTAATTTTGTCTTTTGATTTCATTATCACTCACACATTCATTTCGTACTCTCTTCTTCGTCACTTTTTCTCTCTATTATCACCCCAGTCTTGATTTATTGAAGAATCGACAAAAACACATGGAGACTTCAGTAAGTTTTGTGATGTGTCACCCCTCCCACTCCTACCGAAACCATTTTAGCTACGACCCCACCCAGCCCCCCTCCCACTAAATGATGAAAGAATACTAACAGCTCGCAAAAACTTTTAAGAATATTAAAATACAATGTTGCCCATAAAGTTGGAATAATTTTATCTACCTCTTTCTATGAAATGATTGACAATTATGGTTCATTCTTGGTAGATAAAGTTTATACCCTCTCAGATCTTGATTGATCAATCTAAAGAATCATTGAGGTTGATCTATAAAGTTCTGATTTATCTATCAAGACTAAATGACAGTTTCACAATCATTTCATGAAATGCGGTAAAAAAATATTGCTCAAATTTTATGCGCAGCAGTGTTGGTATTTGTAATGCGGGTCAGATAGCGTAAGGTAAATGTGAGTGTGGTATTGTGAAAATTAACATGGCTTCTCTTTCAGAGGTTTTGTGTGTTTGTAACTGTTTGACCGCTTTGTAAATGAGAATAAAGAAAACAAAACTAATGTATGATGATTCTCCTTGCATAAAAAGTATTCGATTACATGTGTATATGTGTATAGTGTGAAAAGTTAACTAAAAGATTATATAATACACTATGGCATTTGTATATCCTTGATTTATTAACTATGCAAGTAATATATGATTTTACTATAAAGATATGAAAACAAAAACAAACAAAAACAAAGAAAAAAAGAAGGAGGAATTATACAATTGTAATTGTCCTTAAATCATGTAAACAGTTATTTTACAGAGTACGACAAATTTGAATTTTATGTTTACAACTGGACAAATAAATGTATATTGATCTGTTTGGTCACAAAAACATCTGATATTCAAGGGTGCTTAAACATAGCTGCTACACTTTGTATGCTTGTTTGTATGTTTTTGTTTATAAATGTATAAAGCTTTCGATGGATTTCATATGGAAAAACATTAAGTGAGGTCGATTTTTTACTGTAAAATGATAAAGTAAACTAATACAAAATGGTATTCAAGTAACATTAAACTAATCCTTTAGGAGTTCGATTCTCCAATATGATTGTTTAAACTGTTAGAAAAGTAACTCTTTACAAACTTAACAATTTTTTTGCCTTAGCCATGTATAAGTTTTTTTTAATCCTAAAATAAATTGGTCGTCGTCTTCCTTTCGTTTTTCTTTCTTTTTTTGTTCCCCTGCCTGCTATATTTTTAATAGGCTATAATGAAATCCCTTGATATTATTTGGTAAATTGCGTTATTCTTGGACTAAGAAAGTGCAAGATGACATTCCTTTAATTTATTAATTCATTATTCCTTTTGTCTTAATTTCAACAGCACTGGATGGATACATTGTACGGATGGGCACCATCCACAATGAAACCAAAACTAGAACAGGTTCGTGATTTTATATATTTCTTTTTAACTTTGTTGATCTCACTTTCTTTCTTTTTTCTTCTTAGATTTACTTTCATTCCACAAAATAATGCAACAGAAAGCTTTTATAAAGTTAGATAGGTTGGTAGACCTACCGAATTTCTTCATTATATTATTCGTTGCAATGTCGTCGGCTGTACTCACCTATAAAGGCCGATTTGTTTCATGTTTAATTTTCTGCTCCGCAACTCCCCTTGCTATACAGTATAGAACTATTAAAGAGATTTGACATTTTTATCGAGTTGTTGCTATTACATTATCCTCGTCACAAAGTTTGTAATTTATCATAATTACAAAATGTGATAATTTAAAACTATATAAATCTATTATTATTATTATTATTATTATTATTATTATCCATGAACCTAAGTTATTTAAATATATCTTGCTATTCGTTGATGGCCTAAGAAGATTTTATAATGAACTCTTTATCTCTTTCTCTTTCTCTCTCTCTCTCTCTCTCTCATTCTCTCCCTCTGCCTCTCTCTTTCTCTCTCTTTCTTTTTGTATGTATATATATATATATATATATATATATATATATATATTATATATTAAAACCTTTCCAACTGAACTATAATGCCTTAAATTCGTTCGTCGCGACGATTCAAAGAGAATTCACTTAGTATTGGTAACCGTGGTGAATAGATTATGTGTGTTTGAATCAATTAATTATAAAATAATTAATGATTTCTTGTTTCCACCATTCCATTTCAGCGTTCCTATGTTCATCACAGTCATAACGGTTTCAATGGATTACACAAAGTTGGAGTAGTGGTGAGTAATATTTTGTAAATTCTACATTTTTTTTTTTTTACAAGATCAATCAAGACAAGTCAGATTAAATTCTTATGCGAAACAAAAAAAATATGATATTGAGATGTAATATATTTTAATCGGCTTAACTGGTTATTATATTCTTCTTTTTTTCCGAGGGGATGGGCACAAGCTTACAAATAGAATAGGATGTTGAATTTAAAATTTTAAATGCTTCCATTTATCATAATATTGCACATTTTCCATGTTTTCTAGTCCTCCTTCACAGGCCATTTTCGATTAGCAAGTCTGTGCAATGTGATTAACTTTACACGTTTTGTCTCTTTCTGTGGCATCGTTTAAGATTTACAGGCCTAGTCTAAAACATCATGCCCTCACCTGTTGAAAATTTAAATACATGTATGTCAAAATCTCTTTTCATGATACAGGCTCGTGAGCTGCATACGGGTAATATAGTCCAGCTAGAGTCTAGGGCTACAGGAGGACTACTGCGGGTCAATTCCCTCACAGGGAAAGTCGATTTTAACGGCATTTATGGAAAACAATGTGAGTAAAGTTGTATTTTTAAAATTGTATTACATATCCTTTAAAATCTTAATTTGCATTGTAAAATTTAGGATGTTCTAAATATCTTGATCTGCGAACATTAAAAAAGAAAAAAAGAATACGTGTCACATAAATGTCAAAGTTGATTTTCTTTTTAGAGAAATCATATTGATGGCGTAACAAATTGCATCACCACATTGACGGATGTATGAGGGGCAAAACAGACCCGTCACCCCTTTTAAAGCCGATATAGTGGTTCGGTGTAAAAAAAAAAAAAAAAACCTCTGGCATTTTTGCCTCTGACCCTTTTAGCTCTGACATTTTTACCTCAAGCATTTTTACCTCTGATATTTTTTCCGGTGTATTATACCAAAGTGACCGAAATTAAAAATTTGCCCTCTTTCAATTTTTCCTTCTGAATTTTTTAGCCCTGACAGTTTTACCTCAGTCATTTTACCTGGCACCGATGTAGCATACCATAGTGACCAAAATGTATAATGTGCCTTCTTTCAATATTCGCTCCAAAGGACACCTACAATTTTAATTATAATTAGAAGTCATTTCTTTGTCAGAAAATTTTCGGAATTATGAGCCATTTCCCCCCCCCCCCCCTCCCTCCCTTGACATATACATGCTTATTTGACTTACATTCTTGTGATGAATTCGTTTTTGCTTCAACTTTCTTGTGATGTCATCTTTGATTCTTGCAGCCCAATTCGTTGTAAGGAGAGAAGGTGATGACATCATCTCATTGCGATGTGTACTTAGTACGTCCAACTTCCTCATACTCAGGAATGGCATCCTACATGCGAATGTAAGTCTATCATTTTGCTCTAATACCAGCTTTGTTTTCTTCCTTTTTCAATATTCCTTTTCTTATTCATTCTTTGATGATAATAGTAATACAGTCAAACCTGCTTTAGTGACTACCTGTCTACTAAGACCACTTTTTTCCCTTCTAATTAGTTTCTCATTGAAACATGTACTATATCGGCACCTGTCTACAAAGACCACCACTTTTCTTGTCTCCGAGTGTGGCAAAAGGGCGTATGTGCTGCGGCAGGGACTCGAACCCGAACCTATAGTGGTTCACAGTCCAGAGACTTATCCACTAGACCACGACACCTCCGCATGTCTTTGTCTTTGTCTCTTTTTTATGTTTTATTATTCTATCACTTTAGCCTTTCCTTTTATTTTGTTTATTTATCTCTTTCTACATCTTCGTAAGATCATGCTTTCGATCCTGTTTAAATTTCGTTTGACCTTCTTACGTAGAGGTGTCCTGGTCTCGTGGTTTAAACATTTGACTTCGGATGCGAAGGTCAAGAGGTCGATCCCGTGCAGCACGACACTTTCGTCCTCAATGATTATGGAACTATGTATCAGGATAGTTTAATCAAGATTAATACCACCCCCCCCCCCCCCCTTGGAGGCCTATCCGCGGCCAGGGCTCCGTTGCACACGACTTACCATTGGTAGTAACTTTGCCATCAATGGTAACTACCATGGAAACCTTGATTTTGATTGGCTGTTGAGCCATGTTACCATGGTAGTTACCATTGATGGCAAACTTACCATCAATGGTAAGTTTTATACAACGATAGACCCAATCAGTGTCCTAATAATTGCATTCTATTTAATTCCTTTAGGGCAAGGGTGATCCCCAGTGTCGATTCAAGTATCACCTCTCTGAGGATGCGAGTAGCTACATGAAGTTTGAGTGCCTTCACAACCCAAACCGTTTCGTCTCCGTGCACAAAAAATCCAACGGCAACGACGATACACGATCAGTATACAGCATGCGATCGATGCGATCATCGGGGAACGGAGTCGAGGGGCAATTCCGGGTCGTTATTGTGGTAAGTGGAAAAACAAAAATTGAAACAAAAACGGAACAAAAGGGACTTGATTGTTTTATTGATTTTTCAACTTGAAGTTAAAGTTGTATACAAGGATGTCTCCAATGTTTGTGGCTTTTTAATTTCATTAGGTCTAGTATTGTTAACGAACCTCAAAATTTCTACAAATCTATACATTGGTGGCTTTGTGGTGACGCCTATGTCCTCCGGAACACCGACAGTGTTTTTATGTAACTTGAAAAATAAAATAACATGAAATAAAATCACCTAATGTGAAGAACAAAAATTAATTAGGGACATCGATTCTGACACACTTCATCAAGTATCTTTTTACTTTATGTTTTTTTTCTTTTCATAGACCCACTTGAGAATAATATGTCAGCTTAATTCCAGATAATTATTTGGAAATTGTGTTTATTCCTGTGTTCTCCTGCTCCGTAAACGACCTGTTCCTCCAAATATTTTAGATATTTCAATTAGTGATACTATACTATACAAGCCTGTACATTCTTTTTGTTTTTCCTTTTTTTACATTACAGGGTCACTCAAATCAGAGCTACGCATCGTGACATCGTTTTCCTAGCGTGAAATGCAAAGAGAAAGAGAGCTTTATGAGAGGACATACTATTTTTTTGTAATGTTCTGCGGAACTATGGAACAGAATGGCCAAAGCCTTTAGCGGGTTACGTTATATATTTGCACAAATGCACCGTTCTTAAGAACAGTTCTAAACATGAGGAGACCAAAATGGAAGGTGAGCCCAAGATGCAATAATATAGGGGTTCAGGCGAGTGGATCGCTACGATGGATAGGAAAATGGCGTCTTGATTAATGGCTGACGTTTATGAGGGTCTAGTCTACACATGTCGATCTTCCGATATTTTCTCTTGGCTTTATTTCGTCAGAGACAGATGATTCGAGTTTGGGTACGAATTTTGTTGTCGTTCAAGTTTAAGGTTATAGTTTAGGGTTACGCATTGCATTTAAGCCATGGTTAAAGATTGGAATACGTCTATATTATACTATATTGTATCGAAATCACCGAGGATTAAATGCCGCCGGAGAATTTGTCGTAGAATCACTTTAATATATTTTCCTATTAATTTTGGTCATGTTTATGAGGTATGGTCGTCTATGTATGCATGTAGAGAAATCCCCCATAATTGGTATCCTTTTTTTTACCGACGTTTAGTGAAATGAGATAAACTACAAACATCCGTCAAACATTTAGAATTTATTTATTAGAAAAAATATGTATGAATGATGAGACATTCAAAAAGGAATAAAGCGTTTTAACCGTTTTACGACTTTTTTTATCAGCTGCAGACGATTTATCCCGAGAAATCTATCATCATTTTGTTGAAACCATGCCTATTTTAAAATAATGATTTTCGTGGTCTTACGATGTTATGAAATATATCTTTCTTGGATTTGTTTTGTATATAATTTGAAATTCACGTTGCCGAAATACGTTGTGCTGTGAGTCAGTTCGATATCCAATCTTGCTAGATTTCACGATCGTCTAATTGTAATGTAATTATTGTTGCACAGTTGATTTCTTAACATACGCATTACCTAAACGGTTATTTCTTTTAAATGAATTTTGTTACCATGTGCCATTGTAAAATGCAATGTTTTTTTTTACCCCGAAACATTTATATTGAATGTAAATACACGTATATGTCCAAGGTCTTGCGTACATTAATAGCACATAGACATTATGAACATCTGTAATGATAATCATGTACAGTTTATAAATATGACAAAATAAAAGTCGAATACGTTTTCAAATGAATTTAAGAATACGTGTCTCTTTTTTAAATAAGTTTTTCCCGATTTCGCGAAACAAATATGATTAATGCTTCAATTGTCTTGTTTTCTACTTCTTGGTTCCTCTAATACCTTTCCTTTCGATCTTTAGCTCCTTTCTTTTTGTTTCGTCTTTCCCTTTCCGTTTCTCTCTCTCTCTCTCTCTCTCTCTCTCTCTCTCTCTCTCTCTCTCTCTCTCTCTCTCTCTCTATTTTCACCGAAATATTAAGTTCTCATTCGGTGATACGACAATGAGTCATGCAAAATATCAATTTCAAATTGACATCGAAAAAATATGTTCGAGGCAGATTATCACTTTGAAAAATAATTTATTCAAAACATAAGCACCACATGCACTTCATCCCATTTCATTGTGATTATTATACAACGTTATCCAAAATCAACTTGCACAAAAATCAGTCAAAAAAAATATTATTGCCTTTGTATTTCATGGATGTATCAAAGGAGTTACAGTTTCATATATTATCTATTATTTGTATACTGGAGCTAGAATTTAGGGCCATGTTTTATTTTCAAAAAAGTTGTTATCTATGAGAAATGCAACTTCAGCAACTCATATCAATTATTGTAACTTGTTACTAGTCATAACTTTTATGAAACAGGACCCAGCAGATCCGAAATGTTATGAAACTATTTGATACGTAAGGACACCATTTGCACATCAAGTTCAAGAAATCTAGTGTTTGTTTTTTAGGAACACCTTGGGAAAATTTTGACAACGATGTAACTGCAAACATTTTATTTTTTGTTTGGAAACGTGAATGCTGGTAATTAATTTGTACGATGATTGTGCTATTAAAATTCTCCACATGATAGGGATTATTTCCAATGATCATTCAAGATACCTATCCTTGAACCTTTTTTGTTTCTTTCTATTGGATTTCATAATGATTGATCTTTTCTAGCGAAATTCGAATAAACATCCTTTGTATTTACTCATTTCCATTCTACCTAAAGATTTTTATTTTAATTAATGTATTTCCAGTATTCATCAAATTTAAGCTTGGTCAGTGGAAAAACAAGAGAGCTTTACAACTCCAATTTATTAAATTTTGCCGAACAATAATAATATTGCATCAGTCCTATAATATATGAGGCCATTCTGATCCTCATTTAAATATATGGCTTTCAGCTAGCATCAATAAAAACAAGTATCATTCATCATAGACCTTCGTCCAATCGTCAAAGTATTATGTACAATAATTTAAAATATTTACATTAATTTATTTGTAATAAAACTGTACATTTGGCATATTTATGGCGTATAAAATTACAAAATGACATGTAATATAGTATTTAAGTCAGAGATTGCATTAAACAGATGAAACAAATTAAGAATCTTAAAGAATGGAGTACTTCTCAATTTTTTTTCACATGGATCACCTATCATCATTTTTGATCGGCGGCAGGACGTTCCTACTCCCTGTTGGCAACGACTCCATATTCAGAACTGTCGTCGATTCCCGCGTTGGTTCCGACGACGGTAATAACGACAACGGTTTTAGTCTCGGTTCTCGGGACCGGGATTCGGTTTTACTTTTCCCTCGTCCGAATTCGAGGTATTTTGTCGGTTCCTGGTTCGAAGTGACGTCGCCGTAAGATGGAGGCGGCGGGGTGGTCGGCGTGAATTCTAAAGGCTCGACGGCGTTGCTGTGACGACGTCCTAATCGACGAGGAGAATGAGCGGTGGTTATGTCGTCGTTCCTCGAGATGGTGACCGCGGTCATCGTTTTGCTTGCTGGGATTTGCGAATTAGCGCTGTTCCTGGTATTTACAAAAAAGAAGAGAGAAATACAATTATCGCAATCGAGTTTTGAATAATCAAATACTGGGGGGCGTTAACTCGTATGAAATTCCCAGTTTTCTTTTTGTTTTAATTGTACAAAAATACTCTGAACCTATCTCTATTATGTTCTTTGTATCCCTCTCTTTCTCTGTCTCTCTCTTTGTCTGTCTGTATGACTGTTTCTCTCTCTCTCTCTCTCTTTCTCCACCCTTCCCTTTGTCCGGTCTTCTATTTCACCCCTATTTCTTTCTTCTCCTTTTTTGCTCCTTCAACTTTTATCACTTTATTTTTCTTTTCTTGAGACTTTTTTGGGCATAAGATCTTACGATTAATCAAAACATTCGATAATTTCTGATCTTCAAGCAACACAAACACAAGCGCACATACGAGATTGTCAATACTACGTACATTGGAGCCGCTGTTGAGGTGGGGCTCGAAGCTTCGTAGGAGGGGTTTAGAGCTGATTTTCGATTGGACCACTTGTAAAAGAGACACCCTGCGACAACGACCATAATGATGATGGCCGCGCTCACCCCGACAGCGATCATCCAGATCCTCGTTGAAAGTTGCCCTACGAGAGAAGAGCAGAAGAGATATGAGAAATTGGTTAGTACAAATAAATAAATAAATAAAGCTAATGGGTGACCTAAAAAAAGGTGACCTTACCCCCCCCCCCCCCCCGAACGGGACCAAACAAAAAGTGCTCTTTTCTTAAAAGTGATCGAGAATTTTGTTTGCATTATCTACAGTCAATTTATCTCTTCCATCTCTTTTTCTTTTCCCCTTTTGTCTTTCTCTTTTTTCAAACCCTCCTTTACTTTCTCTTACCCCTTTCTCCCCGCTTACAGTAGTAATACTGCATTCATTTTCTCATTCATATCTGCAGCCATGTTAAGTCATCAAATTCATCTAAAAAATAGTTGTTCGTATTCTTTTTCTTCATATTTCACTTTTATTGGCACACATCGCCTTCACATTTTATTCCCTACTTCTCAATTGATTCTGTCCCTGTCTTTAACTTACTGCAGCCTCTTTCTTCATCTGAGTTATCCCTGCAGTGGTCGTAACCATCACAGATTAGATTCTTTGCGATGCATCTGTTGTTATCACAATGCCAGTCACCATCTTCGCACCCGTTTTCATCTGAAAAAATAAAAAGAACGGTAAAGTGTGCGGTGATGTTTAGTAAATAAAATGATTCGTCGATGTAAAAAGTACTTATACACATTTTAATAATCCTACGACTGCGAAGACTTTCGAGAAAAAATGAGACTATGCAATATCATTAGCCTTGTCTATCACATATCAAAACATGCGATTATAACAAAGAGGTATGACGCGATTGCAATACAGTTTCAATGGGATGTTCAATATGGTATTGTAATAACCCTTGGGAGGATTTCTCGAAAGTTTCGAAATTAATAGGGCCGAATGGTACGATGATTCCAAGGATGCATATAAAATTAATGGGAAACGCTCAAAATCATCTCAAAAGGAGTAGGAAATCAACTTGTTTTTATTAGTTCTGACTACCGATTTGATCGCCCCCTATATTCTTTCTTTAATTATCATCGACCCCCCCCCCCCCTCCCTTTCCTTTCTACTTCTACAGTATTTAAGCGGATATCAAAGAGACAGCTAAGAGGGGTTTGGATGCCACTACTTCACAAACTAAGTAAACCTTGGTTTTAATCCAATGTGCATTTTGGCGTAAGACAAGACAAGATGATTTGATGAGAATATATAACAGCAACTACTACTACTTGTACTACTACTTCTTCTTCTACTACTATTCTACAGGTCTACTACTACTACTACTTCTACTACTACACTACTACTGCTAATAATACTACTACCACTACCATTACTACTACTAAACAGTAGTAATAAATCACTCTGGCGTTATTCTCACCTGTATAAAAGATGGAATAAACAAGTTTGAATCCCTCAAGTTCAGAGTTCGGCACACTGTCGGAGATAAACCGAACAACGGCAAAAGAGTTCTCGGTGGTATATCGTCCCACGCCTTGGCCGCAGAAGAAGCCGAGTGTTTCTGAGTTCTGCGCGCTCGCGTCGCCGTCGAGAAGTTGGAGATAGTCCCCGCTCGCTCCGCAGTCATTTGCTATGATTGAAAAATGGTAATGAAGAGATTTCAGATGAATTCAAGCAATTTATCATTCTTGTACTTCCAGATTAAATACAAATACACTTCAGTGTATCCACTGACAATAATTTTTTGTATAGGATAACAGCTCCTCCCTTTTTTGTCTGTTTTCCCTCATTTTTCTCCCTCTTCTTTTTTCCCTTCTCCTACTAGTCATAATCTATTTTCTACATCTTTTGCATGTTTTTTTTCATGAATTTATTTAATAATAATAATAATACTCAGTTTTCATATTACAATCACTAAGCGCTTCCAAACTTGTAGATTATTACCCCGGATTTAGCTGTGCTGCCATTGCGGCGCTCTAGCATTTCAAATATGAAAGTTAAATTTCTGTTTACCTTTTGCATTTGAATTTGGAAAAATTATATTCAATGTATTCTTCTGGTTTTGTATTTGATTTAAAGAAGATCTTACACCTTGTGCCTTCGGTTTATTATTTTTAAAGCCCCGGCTTTTCACCTTTTTTTTTTAATTCAATATTTTCATTTGCATATTTCGTATTCAATATTTCATATTTGTATACCTCTTCTATATTTAATATTCTACGTTACGTTTGTTAAATAATCATTCCTTGATCTTCTTTTCTTCCGATGAAATGGCAGTATACTTACATGGCGGCAGGTCAATCTCGATGAGATCAAAGAATATTCTTTCGTGCGCCCGTGAAGCGATGATGGTGACGGTGCAGTACTGAGAATCATCATAGCTTCCCTGCGAGTAGGACTCATGAGACACTATGGCGCCCCCTTTCTCGGTCAGTGCAGCATGAGACAGGTCACAAACTGAAAGGAAAAATGGAGTTCAATTCAATCAATTCAATCAAGATTTATTAAAGACTTGAATGGCAGTCATAATTATTGTATATGCTTTCACAGTCCAGGTAAAATACAATGCTAGTATAAAATAACAACATGATATCAAGAAAAATGGAATTATATATAATGTTTAAGAGCATAATTCAAAATGTGATAGGTAATAAAATATGTACGGAGTTGGGGTTAGTTGATTGGGATGTAAGTGGATAGATGGGCGGATGGAGGGATGGTTTGATGGATGGAGGGATGGTTTGATGGATGTAGGGAAAACGTTTTTCTCATGGCTGAATACTTAGTACCCTTTTTACCAAAGTTGTAAGAAATTTGTATGTGATGACCCACGGCGTAGAGCCCGAAGATAAAACCATCTCGGCAGACAAGTTGTGCCAGACGGCGATTAGGTACACAAACGAAATGGCAGACAAAAACGCGAATCAAATAAGACAAAGAAAGGACGCCTTTAATCTTACCTTAAAAGGACACACACATAAAACTGCGAGACACAAGAAATGTATCTATAAGAAAACACTGGACGTTCACATAGCTAAGCAGAAGCGGTACCAAAACGGAAACCTACAATCGTTGTACTTATAGGGTATCAATCTAATGATTTTTTTTAGTAATGCCGTTGATGTGTTCAAGAGCACCCTTACAACATTGGGGTTTCGTCGGACAAAATACATTAACGTAATTTAACAGCCATAGTATAGGGCCTTACAAGTTATGTATATCCAGTTTCCCCGCCAGCGCTAAGAGTCTCGGGCTCCTTTCCAAGGCACAGATAATAGGATAGGTCAGACATTTAGGGAGGCGCGATAGCTCAGTCGGTAGAGCAGTGCAGGTCTCGAAATCCGGTGATCCGGGTTCGAAACCAAGGCGATGCGCTAGTCCCCTTTGGTAAGGCATTAATTCTCATTACCAGGTCTCTCGGAGAGGACCTAAAGCCGTCGGTCTTCGGGTTGTTTACTAACAAGCATTTATTGATTTCTTAGCTGTCAGGTAAAATAACCACCACCACACTTTGCAATCAACCATTTTGTAATGTAATGAATATCATAAGATATATTCATGTCCTGGGTGCCGTATACGGTCATTGTTTCTGTGGTGGGAGTTGGTGTATGGAACCCACTAAAAACCATTGATCAGGCATGGTAAAGTTCGCTTGATCTCGTCATTATTAGGTGCAAGTATTGCGATTTATATCATGTTTCGTAGCGAATATGTTCCAATACCTAGCTCTCAAAATCTATATCTTAATATACTTACCTGAGAACTGATTGGAGTTTGAATTGCCGTTGTCATCCTGAAACCCCGTGTCGGAGTCTGCGTATTCGGCGTAGAAACCCTTGAATACATTCGACGAATCAGAACGGAATCGTACGAACATCGCCGGACCAGTCGACGATATCTATGGGTTAAAAAATAGATACGACATTTAGCAAGTATATTAAAGAAAGTTAACTTCAAAGTGCCTGCATATTGAATATTTATAAAGTAAAAAGGGAAATAAATCGTCAAAGATGAGGTCATCCGTAATAACATCTAGTCATTAATTACGGTGCTAAAAGTTACATCTTCTTTCCACCTTTGCCTTGAATTTATCAGGGTTGATTTAAAACACAACATCTTCGAAAATAAAACAATTAAATGAAATTGCAACTAAGAGACACATGTGATTATCGTTTTTGTTTTACTTAAATTTCCAAATTTTACGATTCGTTTGTAAAACACCCCTATAGCCAAACGTAGCTCACAGAGTATGAAACGGTAATATACAAAAAGATAAGCTAACTGATCCCAGACGCCGACATTCCTATTAATTCAAATCACTAAATTATTACTACTTTAGTTAGACAGGGTCATGTCGACGCCATTATGCAACGTCCTCGTCTTGGTGTTCATCCATCTTACCGTATTTTCTGGCAGGGAAGCCCCGCAGTAGCGGTTGAGGAGCTCACTGGTCTCGGAATCACCATCTCGAATCTCTACATAATCGTAGACGCAATTGATGGACTCTTCCACGTCGAACGAGGGGAATCGAAGCTGAGGGTTCAAGAGAGGAGAAAATATGGGAGAGCAATCACAAATCAGAAACGGAATCAGTGGGGTATGTCAGCAGAGGAATGAGAAGGAGAACGCCCCCCCCCCCTCCGCCCCCATGTGAAAATCCAGCATGAAATCAATTTTGCTTTTCAGGCTTGAACATAAAACATCTGATTACCGTAGGATTATCATGATAATACACATTCATCCACCGAACTCGAAAAACTATTTGCTTAATAAACGTAATGTCATTAGATTCTACATGTTTGTTTTAGCCTGAATTTCAATTTAAAATTTGGCATCTTAGCGATAAAAATCTTAACTTAACACCTTAAATGTCACATGCTACCTCACCCAAAATGTACACCTATTCATCTAAATAAGTGCTGAAATATTGAATATTCATAAAAAAAAGAAAACATATTATGTAAACTGGTTCAAAGAGTTTTTGTAATATATATTACTTAAGTAATCCGGTACTTTACAGAATGTTATCATCCGGGTAATAACTGGTGACCGGGGGCAACTGTGCAAAAGTCATCTGAACCCATTGACTACTGAATTATCATATCCCCCATGTGTTTAATACAAGAACAATCCGGTTCTAAAAGGCAAAGGCTTAACTCACCAATATGGTATTATCTGCCTTGCTGCTGGTGACGATGTATGTACACTTTAGACTACTGCCGTAGTAATCAGGAAAGCCCGGTGAGTAGAACACACCATGTTCTTCAGTGTAGGTATAGTAGCAGAGGCCGTGTGCAGGAGTCGGTACGGGTTCTGAGAAACGACATCAAGGACGGAAAAATTCAAAAACATATTGGCCCGAATTCACAAAGGAGGTTTGTCGATAAACCTCCTTTTATTTCGACAAACCTCCTTTTGTTTTTTACAAACCAGGTTGGTAAAAAAACGTGTCAAATGACGTACATAAACCTCGGTTTGTCGACAAACCTTCTTTGTGCCATAATGTTCAGGAAGCCGGATTATACAAACGAAAAATTATTGTTAGAATGGCAAAAGAAGTCATCAACCATTGATAATTACTTTTGAAGGTGCTATATTTTTACATTTGAAATAGCATGAGATAAAAACCAGTACACAACCTCAAAGTCTTATTTGTGGCGGAAATATTGTTCTATTTGCTTTAATTTCACTTTATGATTCAGATCAATCAAAAATTCAAAAATATCTGTAGTTTGTTTATGTTGTCGGCTTTTTTGTTGATGTTTTGTTTGTTTGTTGATTTCGGTTTTTGTCTGATTTTTTGTTTCCGTTTTGATTTTTCATTTCTTTTCAGTGTCAAATCTGCATAATGGTTATGAGAGCTTGTGCAAAAAGATGGACAAAACTTGCATTTTTTCTTCATATGTTATAATAATAATGATGGTGGCTTCTTGTATAGCGCACATGTCCGTCACGTTGTGACGCTCCTGTCGCTGCCCCGATTATTACCCTGGCTTTAGCAAAGCAGCCACTGCGGCGCTCTAGCATTTCAATTTACGATGGCCGAGAAGTGAACTCACCGACATAATCTATAGGCACGTCAGTGATCTCCGCTCGGAATCCGGTCTTCTGAATGGACGAGTCGGTATGGAACACAACGTAGAGCTCGTTGCCCGTGGTGATGGTGGCTGGTGGGTTCTGTGGACCGCAGAACATCCCCAGGCTCGGGTCGACGTCGGACCCGCCGTCATAGATGGCCAGGTAGTCGAAGTTGCATATGTTGAGGTCGTTGGGGTTCTCGAGGGTGAAGGAAGAGAAGAATATTCTGACCCGTCGGTCTGATTGGGGAAATAAGGGGGATTAACATGAGGATTAATACGGAGATTATATAAAAGAATGTAATACTTGATGGCGTGACCATAATGTTGCGATGTTGGAGAAAAGTATGAAGGGTGTATTGGCAACCAGGGTCCATTTTCTTTTAAATTTGCCCTTTATCAACTAATTACATACTTAGACATAATTATGTAGACAGTTCCCAACTATATTAGTAATATATAATAATGACTATAATGTAAAGTGCCATATATCATTTCGCAGTAGTGCTCAAGGCGCTATCGGAAATAGTATTAGTGAGGTCTACCTTGTAGTGAAGGTAGACTAGTAACGAAATGAGCGGTAAGGAACAGTTTATACCGAAGACCTTACTATAACGGCGAATTTGCACCTGTTATTCTTGCACAATGTTCCGAAACATTTGCTTTAATTGATTGGGTTCATATATGTATTTTGTTGCTTGTAAAAAAAATCCTACATTAAATGTCCAGTTATTTTAATTTGGACAAATACATTTGAATTGAATCGAATTTCTAAATTACGCCTCTCCTCCAAAGTCCTGGATGCGCCCCTGCGATGAACATACATACCTCCGGGGGCGACCATATGGTAGACGCAGTCGAGGTTCTGAGTATAGACATCGGGGAAGTACGGCGATGAGATCACATACAGCTGGCCATCGTCACCGAGTTGAACCTCGCCATCGGAGCACGGCGTGACATAGTCGATCACGAGAGCCAACACGACCACCAGCATCCACCAGACGAACAGCGACAACGATGGGCTTGTCGATTTCATTCTATGGAAGAAAAGAGAAAGAAATGTGTGAGGACCCAGGACTCTTTTGAGCGAACTTGGGCTTAGAAACACGTCGGTTTATTCGACATTTTCTTTCCCCTTTATCGAAGCTATATTTAACTTTGGTCTCTTCTTCTTCTTCTTCTTCGCCATAAGTACAGGCAACCGTCGGGCGAATTCTCGTCTCAAGTTTACCAATAGAAGTTAGACCAAGGTCTAAGATTTTCCTCGGTAAAACATGCCTTAGACGTCGCGTCGGTTAATAAGAATATCGGCTATATTTAGTTTAGGCTTTGGTTGGGTTACATTCAGGTTTTTATGTTAGGTTTAGGGTTAAGTTTGAGATTAGTTATACTTTTGAGTCCCGGACAGAAGTTAGAGTTTCGGTAAGAAACCATTTGTCGACGGAGCACATGTCATACAATCAAATTTTGTTCACGAGCCGGCTATCAACTGGCGAAAGGTGTGGAATTTAAGCATTATTTTCGAATGAACATTTAGTTACTTCTTGAAAACTTTAATCTAAATTTGAATATTATAAAACGGCAGCGCACAGATCCATGAAATCCATTTAACAAGCAAAGCAAGCAAACGGTAAACACACACACACACCTCTGGTCAAACTGGGTTATCCAAAACAGCTTGCTAATTCATTCCACGTTTAACTATTTCCAGACAAACTCTGCAATATAAAATTCTAGGTAATTTGAATTGTTTATGTATACTGTTAGAGAAACGCCGAATACCACAGAGATTTAATTGCTTTGAGTCGATGGTCCGTTTGAACTTTCCCGTAGCCGTGAGCTACATCAAACTGGTACCTGGACACATATAACAAATACAATTAGCTCACCGACAGGAGGGCCGAGCTGGAGAGTCCTATTTGTCATTAAAATCATAAAAGACGACATCTGAAAATATCAACAGTCACAAAAATCGCCAAATGAAAGTTTGGAGTACCACGAACAAAAACGGTGCTCCCGGTGGAATGACAAACATCATTCATTTACATGTACCAGTTAGACGTGTCTTAATGGAGTGACTTGAAAGGAAGCGGCCGCAGGGCCTTGTCCGGTCAACAATAGCAAGATAATGCATCTGCCCGGCCCCATCCATGCCAGGACATCAACACAGGGATTTATCATACTATTGAATGAGAATAGAACATCAGTCAATGGGTTGGAGTGGGGCAGAGTGAAAAGGAGAGAAGAAAAGAAGCATAGGTTTCGTTTTTACTGCGCCACAAAAGAAGACTGAGCAGTTTTTCCGCCCTGAATAGACAAGAAAGACGAGGAGAGCCACTTTACAATTTAGAGTGCCATCCGCAGCTATTGAATTCCTAACACTTTTCATTAACACCAGGCTATTTGGAGAAAGAGACTTCGCAAGGTGCGATGATTGATGTGTTTTGCATTGGGAGAGATATATTTACATTCTACTAATAAACGAAAGCATTTACATGTTTTTAACTTTACAACGGAACAACCGTGAGTAGAAGGACTTGCAGAGTTGCAGTTAATTTGTAACAGAGCTCTACGACATCGGGGGTAATTACACATGTTTTCTCGGGGGAGAGAGGTACAAATAACTTATTCAGTTTAAAGTTGTCGCTGGTATGTGCAACTTTTCAAGGGTCACGTGATATACTTGTTAAAAAATGGTGATCTCTTTCCAGCAGATGACATCACGAAGGCGGTGACGGATCAACTACGTCACAAACTTCTGCAAGAAGATTTCCCCCTAAAACTTCTTCTAATTGAAAAGTAGTTTCTTCAGAAACTTCATCATTTCAGACAATGAATTTGTTGGTAGATTGTGGTTTGTTCCTTATAGTTGAGACTCTCCTTTCACAATAGCTGTATTTCAGATAGATTTAATACCCAGCTCTAGAAAAAATAATTGTTTTTCTGGACTTTGTTCCCGTGTGGAATTGCCTACTTAGAAAGTTTAATGTAAATTAACGATGGGATAGTATTAACTCGATGGCAGGGAACATTGGAAGATGACGCTGCCCGGATCATCTTCCCAATGGGGGGTATTCATTCTAACAAATAGATAGGAATAACAAGAGAAAGTGTGATAATCACTCGCCAAATTCGACCTCCCTCCCTGTTTTTTGCAGTGATTGAAATCAAACTCCTGTTTTCAGTATTTGATCTCTATTTGTATTCATAGAATCACGTTCCAACGAGGTGGTTCTTATCTCAGCCATTCATGATATCACACAATAGTGTCATAAAGTAAACTCGTAGTGACGGCGAGATAAACATGAGCAAACCAAAAGACTCTGCTTTAATAATGTTACGCCACTCCTACCTTTATTGATCAGTATAAGCCTACTTACGTAGAGCTGTGCCGAAACACACAGAAAGGGTAGGAGTGTCGGGCTATATTAGAAAAAGTCTGTAAAAAATGATAATAATGACAAAATGCAGCAAGGGTCCTCAAATTCAAGAATTAGTTGACCAGATGAAAAATAGAATGTCCGTCGAAGATGCCGATGAGAGTTTTAAAATCATTTTAAAAGAGAAATATGCAGACAATTTTGGAATGGGTATCAAAATCCTGCTCCTTCCCTTTTCTAATGACGCCTTTGATCGTATGACGAGGGGCCCGCAAATATATAGGGCAATATTCATGAGAAGCATTAATTCTTGGATTAAAAAAAAAGAAGTTTTGTACGAAATGTCCTTTTCCTAAATTTACAGAAAGTTTCTACATACATCAGTTACATGTCATTATGTAAACAAATTACAAAATATTTCGCAAGAGGTCGCTAAAATGATACAGACGTGCGAGTTTTATGTATTTTCCTTTATATACATTTGTCAAGACACCATTTTTTTTTGATAGCCTTAAGAGATTTATGTCAACAGCGCTTTTTTTTTTAAACAGACGAGCAATCAATCTTGATCTATTTTCATTTTTTTTTAACGGAACTTTTGTTTCCGGTCGCCACGCAGTTGTATAATTTTCATGCATTACTATTAACTATTTTTACACGATCATCATGTCTGTCGCTCCCCTTTTCCTCTTTGGCTGTACATCTATCTACCCTCCCTCTTCTCTCTCTCTCTCTCTCCCCCCCTCTCTCTCTCTCTCTCTCTCTCTCTTTCTCTCTCTCTCTCTCTCTCTCTCTCCCCTCTCTCTCTCTCTCTCTCTCTCTTTCTCTCTCTCTCTCTCTCTCTCTCCCTCTCTCTCTCTCTCTCTCTCTCTCTCTCTCTCTCTCTCTCTCTCTCTATATATATATATAAACATAATATATAAATATATGTGTATATCCGAACCTTTAAATCTCTTCATCTCGTCCTAAAAATATACAACAATCTCTCATACTAAATAAATACCCTTGCGATATCGGTAATACAAAGAAACCTATTTACAGCTGTCTAACTTAATGACGATTAATGATACCCAATAATCATCTAAAAGTTTCACCGCAGCCTCAGCCCCAATTGAGATGCTCGAAAGAATCTTTGGGTTCGTTTATAATATGATCAAGGACATTTCATATAAAGCAGTTGTATTAAGTCTATTCATAAATAGATCGTAAACTGGTACATAGACCCATGGGTGGAGTTATACGCATCAATCTAGCTGGCACTTAATTGGATTTATATAGTTGGCTTTTGAAAATTAGAAACTAATGCAAGCTGGCATCGGCCTACTTGTTATCTCATTTTAAGAAAATTGTCTATAATCGTATGATGATTACACATAATTGAAACTGATATGGGGTATAATTAAGTTTGAATCATATTAATTGAACCTCCCACCATCACCACTGGGGCCAAACTATGCTAGATCGAAAGGATAAGTATTTTTTTCTATGTTGATAGAATATCCCATTAACAAATTGCACCCTTTTTGTAAAAAACTGGGTGGCCGATTGTCACTGAAAATGTATCATGTACGTTCTAAGGCTATATATACAAAGGTTAAAGAGTGTAAACAAGATTGAACAAGATGAACAACAAGTGACTTGTTTGTAAAGTAACATTAAGTTGTGGAAGCGTAAAAGAAAGTAATGTAAAATGATTGATTTGTCGAATATACTTTCACAGTCCGTCCATTAATTCCAATGACATTTCGCGTAAATACCTCAAAGAAACTCAAAATCTAGGATGCCGCCCAACTCTGTCTATATACTATCCTTACGACGGCAACCCCAGGAGCGATTTGTAAAACAAAAATAATAAGGAAGAGGGTTTCTTTCATTGGTAAATCACTGGCCAATCAAAAGAAAGCATTCGCACGTTGAACATATAATTGTCATTTCTATATATCGTGAAATAAATGTTAAGCGAAATATCATGCATGTAATCAATAAACCCTCATTTATTTCTCCATATATACTAAAGATTTTCATTAGCCTTAAATATCTAAGAATTCAGCTGATCAATCCTATAAAATATTTCAGTACGCTTATTGATTAATTTACTTGTCACAACACATTGGTAAGATCAGATTCTCTAATTTTTAAATATTCAGATTATTTTTTTTTAAATGTAGATTTTTTTTGGTGAAAAATCGAATTCGCAAAAATTAATTACGCATACGCCCAAAGAAAATTTGAATAGGGATATCACAGCGCACCCCCCCCCCCCCCTCCCGACGCCCCTGGATCTTACCAAATGAAGTTTCTTAAAGACTACAACTTACTAAGTAGCTCAACCATTCTTCTTTCATTTCGCCATAGAAAGAATAACAATACAAATACAACCAATCACTATGTAATAATGACAATTTAAAACCAACAATGTGATTATTTCGCTTCCGTTTTCCATTCCGATTTACGCAAACCTCTCTCTTTTAATCATCTCACGGTTCGGGCAGCAAAATAATTCCATTTTGGGCAAAGCATTTTAAATGCTTTTAAAAGCAGTTTTGGCTCATTACTGTAGGAAAACATCGAACTACTAAAACCGACGAGGACTTCTCATTCATGTTGCAAAATGTTAAGCACTTAATAGACTCATAATCTTGTTCGAGCTAAGAAAATACAAACTCTATGTATGCATGGAGACGCAGTCGATGTATTTATAGCTTTTTGTTCGTAGTTAACGTACCTGGAGAAAGAGCATCGTTCAAACTGAAAGAACATGAAGCAAAAGTATTAACGCCTTTGAATCAGGAAAAATGGGTGATGATGATGATGTAAGTCGAAAAGTGTAAGGTAACAAATTAAGGTTTACATCTGCCAGACTTCTGCCAGAAGTTGTCTTAGATACAATGAAACGGTAACACGATTTTAAAATGTCAAAAAGCAAGGTAAACAGCTTGATTTCAAGCTTATACCGCTCATGATGGCGGTCTCCTGCGTTTTCTGTGATTCATCCATTTTCATTGAAAAAGGCATCATTCCTCTCCTCTTTCCTCTTCCTCCTCTCTCTCTCTCTCTCTCTCTCTCTCCCTCCCCTCTCTCTATATGTCTCTCTCTATTTTTTCGCTCTCTTTCTCTCTTTTTCTTCCTCTCCGTGCCTTCGGGAGGCGAGAAAATAGCTCCGTACAGAGTCTACAACTCCGAGATTCAGACATCATCCCCACCTTTTCTCTCTCTTTTCCCCTCTCTCTCTCTCTCTCTCTCTCTCCCTCGACGTATTTGTTTCCTTCAAGTGTAACTTTAATTTTACCTTTTGGGGGGAGATGCCCCCAAAATGCAAATTTGCAAATTTTCGAGGGCCAAAAAAAAAAATGTGCTCATTACCACCACCCCCCCCCCCCCCCATCCCCCCTCCCCACTGAGCGCATTTTCGATGCCTATAAGAGCAAAATTTTAAAAAAATGTAAAAGAACGTTTTAAACTATTATCCATGCAAAACCATCAAATTTACTCCAGACTTCATTCAGTATATTGCAAGTCATCTTCGAGGGGGCATAACACCTCAGTCTTATTGTAGCTAACTTCCGCTGAAGACAAAAGCCATGACGGAACGCAATTTGTTTTCCGATGCAGAAAAGAAAGAAAGAAAGAAAAAACACTGCAAAGCCACTTCACACAGTCGCCACTTCGCAGG